ATTTTTCATGGTGGAGGGGCAGCAACAGTTTGGGGATTTGGGCCTGATGGAGTGGAAGATGGGGTGTGAGTGGACACAGGTGCCTGGCAGTGTCCTGGGCCTGGCAGTGTGGGGCTGGACCAACTCATGGGCCCCAGGAGGCCTGCTGGAGATCTGCAGTGACCCTACCCTATTGGTCCATCCTGACTCTTCCTGGGGCAGCACTGGGGAAGGCCATGCGTGGTGGAAAGACCCGACTCAGCTATAGACTGCCCCTGGGCCAGAGAACCCCAGCTTCTCCAGCTCCGCTGTCCACAAGGCAGCTGGTGGGGCCTTGTTTCTTGGGGCAGTTCTGGAACTGAGCTGGCCTCTGGTCACTGCCCACCTCTGGGGTAGAGCAGAACCTGTAGTGCCCAGGCCTCCATCCTGCCTGCTAGGAACCCTCTGGCTTCTGCCTCCTCCCCAGCTGGCCTCTGGGCTCTGGCCTGACTCTACTCGTCCTTGCTAAGCCTCTGCCTATGGCCAGCAGCCTCCTCCTTGGACAGAAGCACAGGCTCCCACCCCCTCACCCACCCCACATGGCAGGCTGGTCAATGTCTCCTCGGCCAGCCTTAGAACATGGCCACTGCCTTCTCTGGGTCCCCAGACTTGCTCAGGCCTGAGGGAGGCATTTCCAGAGTCCACCCCATCCTGGCCCCCGCCCTGCATTCCCTCTGTCCAGCTACAAGCTGCTCACAGCAGGGCAGGCAAACCTCAGCCTAACCCCAGATTCCAGGCTTGGGGCTGGCTGCCGGCTGCAGAGATAAATCGAGGAAGTGTCCCCTGACCCTGGCCCCGGCCAACCCCCTGTGGCGGCAGGCGAGGGAAAGGAGAGACCCCAGAGGCCTGTTTGCTGTCCCAGCTGGGCTCCCGGCATGCCCCTTCCTCTGCCCTGGCTCCAGCCCCATCAGATCTGAGGACGACTCCCTGCTCAGGATGTGGAGCCTGTCAGGCACTCAGGCCTGGGGAGGAGGGGACGGAGATTGGGACAGACAGCCACTGTTCTGTGAGGGGGATGTGACTTCCAACCCCCAGTTTCTCAGGGAGTGTCCTGGGGACAGCAGGGGCTCCCAGGTGTACCTCTCGCCCTCCTCAGCCTGGCCTGGGGGCTCGCCATGACTTGCCCTTCAGCCCTCTTGCAGAGAGGGGACCTCGGTGAGGGGTGAATCAGCCCCTTCTCTGTGGCATTACGGAGGACCCCGCGAGGGAAGGGGCTGAGCAGCTGGCCTGGACTACCCTCAGCTGCCGCTGGAGCCCTGTGGGCCTGTGCTGCCCGGCTGGCAGGGAAGCCCAGTGGTGCTGGGCTGGTGCTGGTGTTTGCAAAAAGAACCCAGCCGGCCCAGGGGCCCTGGTCCTTTCTCCACCCCTACTCCATTCCCTGACCAGTGAGGCCCGCCTCTGACCTTGGGCTTCTCAAAACGGCTTCCTGGACAACTGGCTAGCCAGAAGGTGTCCCCTAAGCCCCTGCAGCCAGCTCCCTGGGCGTGCCTGCCATGAGGGGAAGAGCAAGGGAGCCCCGTGCCTGCCGGCTATGGGCTCCTCTTTACTGCAGCTTCCTGTGGTCTTGGGGGGGTCTTGGGGGACCCGGTCTCTGGGAGGATACCTCCCTCACTGGTAGTCCTGGTCTTGGGGCTTATGCACTGACAGTGTGGACCCTGGCTCTGTGTCCAGCTGGTCCTGGTGTAGTACTCTGTGTCCTCCAGGTCTTCAGCAGATGTGAGAGCTGGCCTAGGGAGGACAGGGGGTGAGAGCTGGCCTAGGGGGGGACAGGGGGTGAGAG